GTCAAACACCACTACATTAGCCCAAACAGAAAGCATTCTAGGAGAAAACTAATCAAAACTACCTTCTAAACAGAGAAAATTGGTCATTTGTTTACATTGCTAGAAACTATATACAACTCCTATGAATCTTAATGCTAAACTATAGAAATGCGAGTTATTAGTTTTGTACCTAGCCAGCAAAGCGATGATTGTAGTCATGACAAATTTAATGGCCACTTATATTATTTTCTTTATTTTAGGTAAGTAAAAAATGTTATTCAATAATAATTTCTCTATATTCCAAACGATTTAATTAAAAATAATATATTTTGTAGTGTGAGGCCGGGACCTCACCCCCTCTCCAACAGGAAACTGGTTGTCGAGCTAAAGCTAATAAATCGGTGATTTATTTCGTAAACAAGNCGTATCCATGTTGTAAAACAAAGATTGTTTATATCTTTTGATCCTTGCATGATAGGAAAATCTGAACATGATTTTTGAAATCAGGAGAAATTTTTTCTATGTGAATAATTATTTTAATGACAAAGGTATATATAACTTTGGTATTAAAATACCAGAGTTCCCCCACAACCATATGGACTCTACCTCAATTGAAAGCAAACATAACATGCCATATTGCTGCAATTTCTCAAACCTATCAGGCTATTGTTGAACAAGGTAAGTCGCTTTGAACACATGATTGACGCAAATGGATTGCACATTGAACAAATGTTGTGAATAAAAACCTTTTGCATGTTTTCATTTTGTGTTTCTTATTCTTCATGTTCCATTTTTTCATATAGTGGTAGAAATTTGAACTAATTATTTTTTTGCATTTTTCTTTTCCCCATGGTCCATATAATGTATACCAAGTTTCATCAAAATACATCAAAAAGAACAGGCTCTATACAGGTCTGAGTAGGGCAACTTTAATTATAATCACCCTGTATGTATAATATACTACAGTAGAGCCTCGATTATCCGACCCCTGATTAACCGACTGTCCTAGTCGGCAAATTTCAAATATCCGCTAGTGATGTGGCACCACAATATTTGGCTATGTCTTGGCTACTTTAATATTATTTTTACGTGTTTTAGCTGGCAACACTCATTCGACAATGAAAGGGAGCCAGTATTTAAACGAGACTTAATTTTCTAATTATGAGTGGTTGTTTATTTTGTGAGCAATAAAATAATTTAAAAATAATTTTTAACGATACGATAGCGACAACAATTATTTTAAAAAAAATTTGTTAGGCTTAACATCGATGAAAATTCAACGTGAAGTAGGTTAATAGCGATATACTAATTACATGGGATATAATAATATACTACACTAATAATGGATTTTTTCATACTTTTCGGTTATCCGACTTTTCAATTATCTGATCAACCCCAGTCCCCAATTGGGTCGGATAATCGAGGCTCTACTGTATATTAAATAAACTTTAACAATTATGTAGAAATGTTTTTCAACAAATTTTTATTTTTTGTATACAATATAAACTATTATTAAAAATAGGAGGAAAAAATAATTGATTTTAAGTAATAAGTTGTATCTCTGATTCAAAATCCAAAATTTAATCTTTATGAAACTCAGATCCATTTTCTTTTCTTATGAATCCAAATGATTATTCAAAAGATTAGAAAACTTGTTTTTCTTATAAATGAATATTTAAATAATTTAAAATCTATTTTTACCTGTTAGTACTTTTAGTTTTGTAAAATGCATTTTATTATGTAGGACTTGTTGAAAAAGCTGTTCTATATGCAAAATATCAATCTCTAAATGAATCGGGTGAATCAGGTATCTCATTTATTACTTTTTGTTATTTGAAAACTGTTTAATTGTAACATATTTAACACATTTTTTTTAAAATTAAAGTGAAAGGAGCAATTATTTTAGCTGAAATCATATCTTCATTGAAACGAACTCTTGCAAGAATGTTAGTGATTATTGTCAGTTTAGGCTTTGGCATTGTAAAGTGAGTACTTTCACCTGTAATATTAATTTATTATGAAGTATAATTTTAAATTTGTTCTAATTAATGTAAGTTTAATTAAATAAAAATTAATTTCAATAAAATAAAGGTTAATATAATTTATTGATATAATACCTACATTAGTGTTCTTTTGACTTATATTTACAGATTGACTAGTTTATTCTTAGCTTAGATATTTATCATCAAGGATCATAATGTTATATTGGATGTTTAGAATAATTTAATCAAGTGTTTTTTTACATAAAAGTCAAAAGGAACATGTAATTAATATGATTCTGATGTTCTTGCTACCTTGAAATGATTATACACAAAATTTGTTTAATATAGTTTGTTGAGATTTTGTTAATTTTTTGACTTTGACTTTGACAAAAAGTTATGCATCAAGAAGGTGATGTTAGAATTGAATTTTAAAAATTTATTTTAAGGAATTCTTTATATTTATTAAAAATTCTAATATTAATGAACAATTTCTGAAATTTAATACTATTTAAATTTATTAGACCTCGATTGGGCCCGTTGCTGCATAGGGTTGTATGTGTTGGAGTTCTGTACTTTCTGTTAAGTGCCATGGAAGGATTTATTCGGTCTTTAATGGTAAACTTACTTTTATACACAATATATTTAAAGTATAACTAATCTTTTTTATTAAAATCATAGAATGATTTAATTGAATTAATGTAATATAATTTTAAATAAATAAAATTATATAAAATTATAGAATAATAAATAAATAATGTAATTGTAATAAATTATAATAAACAGTAACTATTATTATAGTAAAAGATTATGTTAAATAATATAATTTTTAATGAAAGTTCTTATTTTATTGTGATTTTATAATAAATTTCAATGTATTAAGCTGTATATCATAAAATTGTTAAAATAATTTACCTATTATTTGCTTGTATTAAGATACATGTTTGACAGATTTAGGTGGTGATAATTTACATTTAATCAAAACAGTCATTTTCATTAATGATGTTGATTAAGATTAAATTTATAAATAACACTAGTCTACAAAATTCTAAAAAATTTTAGCAACAGAGATGAGACATTTTAAATTACACAAATTTATAGTCGGCACGATGAGAGGTTGTACTTGGTTAATATTAACTGTGTCTATTTAGGGAAAATAGGGTGACAGGTTGGGATAGAGAAAGTTTTCACTGTGTGAAAACTTTCTCTATTGGTTTTTTTAAACCTTTTTTCAGGGCTCCATTAAACTTTCTATTAGATATAAATATGTTTATAAAAATGTGTGAGACTTGCTATTAAATTCATAGATCACTGCTCCAGCTCCTCTCTACTTTCCCAGTTATCAGTCAAGATACAGAAGGTTCATTTTTGTTTACATACATGCTCTTTCCAAGGAAAAATAATTTATTATAACTGATAAAACTCATACAGCACAAGTTCTCACAATGTGAAGCAAAATTGCCATCCTGTCACCCTATCTGTCCAAAAATTTGCAAAGTTAGTATTGACCAAGTACAATCTATCATTGTGTCAATTATAAACATGTTGATTCCAAAAATGTTGTTAGTTTTTGCACAACACAGAATTTTCAAATTACTATAAACTCCACCATATAAGTATAACATGAGAAGCTACATATAAATGAAAATAAATGCAGTGAAGAATTCACAAATAATATCTAATAACAGTTTATTAACTCAGACACATTGTCTTCTGGCATTTCAATGGTCAATTACTTTGCAAATTAGTAGATGATATCACAGAGCAAATCTCTGAACTTGCACCTACGTTTATGACATGTTGAATCTTCCTATTGATGAACGACACAAAAAATATAAACCAAAGGTTGTTTTCAACAGTTTAGAAATTGATCAGCATTGATTGCAGTGAATCTACCACATACACAGCAAAATTTATCTAGAGAATTGACACAAGTATCTTAAATAATTATAATACAAGTATGTTATTGTCTCTTTATTACAGTTCATATGTATAGCCTACATTGTTTCTTTCAGCCTGAGCTAGAAGAGTGCACACTGATATGCAAACTGTTTACAGCTCGCTCACAGAACAATAATCATGTTGTAAATCATGGGAGCAGGAAAATCTTCATCAGCGCTGATCAACACTGACAAAAGGACATGTTATGCAGATATTTTATAGCTCATAACTGAAAATTCAGAGTTCAGTACATCCATTGAAATAAAATTTAGCATTCATCATGTCTGTCATGTACCATTCATCTGAAAATCATGTATACTAGCATAATAGCTATTTTTAATTTATTTTAATATTTAACTACATTATTATAAATTACAATAAAATAACTATAATATTGAAATGTTCATTATAGTTATAGGCAGTATCACTTCATAAGAATGGAATAGACTTATCAGCTGGCACTCTTTTTTAACAAAAAATATTGTGTATTAAGTTTTTTGATTTATATTGCAGTAATATATTAATAAATTTTTTATTTATTTATATGATTTGGGTTTCAATGTTTTATAAATAATTTTTATTATTATTATTTAACAATATTTAATAATTGTGTTACCTATTTGACAGTTAAAAAATGATCCAAGCAAGCAAACATTAATAGCAGGTGTGCCACTTGCTTTTATGGATAGTGCAATATGCTGGTGGATATCCTTTTTAATCATTTACATTAATAAGTAGATAAAATATAAATTTGTTAAATTGATATAAATTTTTAATTATGTAATTATAAAATATTGAATTATTTTTAATGTTGGAATCATTAATCCATTAAATTTAGTTCCCTACATAGAATATTGTTGTTTTGCTCAGATGGTAATTTTAGAAACTGCCATTATTTTACTATTAAAGATAATTTCTTAAATTTGAACTATTCAAATTTATTAAACTTCAATTGGATCCACTGCTGCATGAGATTGTAAATGTACAAAAAATGTGTGTGTATACATTCAATATTTAGATCTTATTACTTTTACAATGAGATAATTTCTTAAATTTGAATTGTTTGTTTAAATAAACTTTTGTTGGCTTTTTTTTTAATAGTTTAAAGTTGTAAGTTGGTGATCCCTGCTTGGAGAACCACAGACTGGCGAATATACAAGGTGAAATAAGGGTGGGTCCTAGCCACCAGGCCCGCCTGCCAGAATATCATCCAAATGTGCCTCCAAATGAAATGCCAGAAAAATGTGAAAATTTTGAAGAATTATGTTGGACACCTGGTATACCAGATTGTGATTTGATGATGTATCTCCGTGCTGCCAGGTTTATAGTAATTTAATTACATTTTATATGATATATATTATATTATATTCATTTTAATAAATATATTATTTCACAGGAGTATGGCAGCATTTGCTGGTATGTGTGATGGAGGTTCAGCAGAAGATGGTTATTTAGCAGCATCAAGAGATGATACAACAATAAATGCTTTAGATTTAGTGAGTACATGATTTTCTTTAATATGATTTAGTGGTTGCATTATTTATTTTTTCTTTTATTTTCTGTTAATAATTATGTCAAAAGTTTAGCTATACAGTGGATTCATTCCCTTCTAGAGAATTGCAAATCAGTATACACAAATCATGGTGCAAAATTCTGAAGTAATTATGCAATGAATTTGGTGAAATTTTTTCCCTCTGGGCTATAATTGAAAACAAATACACATACAAATTCATTAAAGTGATCCTGATTACCTGGCACCATAATAAATACATAAAAGAAAACATTTAATTTGGAAAACAAGAAATTTTTTTTTCAGAGAAACCTTTTTATTTTTTAAAAGAAAAGCTTCAGCTCTGTGTTTATAACATATTTCAAGTCTTTCAACTGATTGAACTGAACAGTTTAAAAACTGGTTCTAGATTTCATTATTTAAATTTTCACAGAGTTTTAAAATTTAAATTACAAGTTAATTGCAAGTTTTTAATATATAAACTACAACATTTTAAAGCTTAGTATGTCTGTAATGAAGGTCTGTTGCAAGGCAAGAAAATGGTGTGAATAAGATAACATGCATTTATGTGAATAAGAGTGGCATTTCTATATTCCTGTAATATGAGACTTAAGACACTCCTTCATTTTGATCTTAACCAAAATGAAAGAGTACCTCTAAGTCAAGAAAACTGAAGAAGGACCTGACAAATTCAAGTAAACAGAAAGTTGAGTGATAGCCAAGGACAGAAGTCAATGGAGTTATTAAAATTTCTACTACCAAAAAAGCCATTACTTTACTCTTCTGAAAAGTTTAGGAGTCTCAAGCCAGAATGGGCACTTAGACTGATTTTCAGAAGTCTGTTGCACCCATTATTACTCTGGTAAAAGCTGTACATGAATTACTTAAAAATATTATGGTTCAGGTTTGATTATGCCATTAGTAACCTAGTTCATCTTTTGCAGATGTCAAATTAGAACAAAATGTTACACTTACAGTTCTTGATTATGAGAATTTATTTCCATTTATAAAAATAGATGCTGCCATTGCAGAGTCAGAGATAAAAATAGAGGCAGAGTCTGTTTTGAAATCTGAAATTTGATTCAAATTGAATTTGAAAAGGAATTTAGCAATTTTTAATATATTTTAGAGATCATCTGAAAATATGTAGACACCACGTACTGGTACACTAATGTCATGTAGGCCTAATGGTTGGCAGAGACAAAGCAATTTTGTTTTTCACTTGAGCAGTTCGGTTTTTCCGGAGGGTCAGCATATTGGGATGTATCACACAGGTAGAGCACATCTGAGGTGGACCTGAATAGGAACAACTGACCCTGCTCTGGATTGGACCGGACAATCCCCTTAAAAGCGAAGATACAAAAATCCCCAGACAGTTTTTTGAGGTCTTTCAACTGAGTTGGAAGACAGCTAGAGTTCCCTTGGAAGGCATTGTGTGCATGATTACATCTAGATTCAGACAGCAGTGTGAGGGGCTAGCTGGGGATACAGAGTAGTTTTTACTTGTGTACCACTTAATCGGTGTCTAGTTGTTAAACTAGTCCTCTGTTTGTCTAACAAGGATGGTTTTCCTAATTCAAGGAAAATCGAGGGTGGAGGGCTTTAACTAATATGTTAATTTTAAGTGGAATTTGATGATTGCATAATCACCTTTTCCTTACGTCAGGATTCCCGACACCAGTTACTCAATTATTTTATATGCGGATTAACATGCGTTATCCCTAAACTCGTGAATATCTAACATTAATATTAAAGAAGCCATATTTTTATAACAAATCAAGATATTTAATGGATCAAGAATATAAAATTATACAAAAGAATGAATCTAAACCTAATCTTAATTCTAATCCTTAACCTAAGATTTCCTCTAAACCTAATGCGTGAGAGAGAGTTCACAACAATCTATCAGAGTTCATATCACCTTCTTCTTTAGGTCTTTTGTATCTTTTTCTATATCTATTTGAGAATCTTCTTCCTTTCTTGATTATTTCTCTTCTAATATTTTCTAGGAGAGTTCTTTTAAATCTTCTCTTGTATACTTCGAATGTAGTACTCTTTCATAAGACGAGATTGTATGACAACCTTTCTTCGATGGACTGCCTCTATCATATGGCTAGTTCTCTTCTTGGCAAACCTCTTTTCAACGGACTGCCTCTATTGTACGTCGGATTTCTCTGTATGGCAATACCTTTCTTCAACGGACTGCCTTGAATGGTGGGAAAATGTGTGTTTTATTTGCTCTTCAATAATGTATGCAAAACTCGACTCGTGAGTCGGCCTGGGAAAGGAAATCAACTTCCTTTCAAAATCAGATGTTTTTCCGTTTTTTTTTAGAAACTTCGTTGAAGTTGAAAAATATTAATTTCTCTTAATTTTTTAATTTTCTAATCTTTTCTTCAAATTATTTTGATTAAAATGATCCTCCCCTGAATTTCCATATTCTCACAGCAGCAATCCAGTTGTTGAGACCAGTATACGAAGCTGGTGGATTCTACAGATGCTCTCGCCAAAGTGGCCCATCTCCAAGTAAAGAAAACTGTGCTCAAAGGAAGACCGTAAGGTGACTTTTGGATAAATCCTTTCCTTTCTCTCTTTTTAGTTAGAACATGTTCTAACTAAAAAGGGAGAAAGGAAAAATCATTCAATCGGGAACGAATCAAACGATCAACCCTTGTGTACATCACTACTAATACTGTATTTGGCAACACTAGCATGATGCGAATCAGTTATCTATCGTCGAGAGTCTGGCAAATTTATAGTAGAAATATTTTCTGTATTTTGGATTAATAAAGTATTAAAATAGGTAGCTAATTATTATTTTTTTACTATTTATTTATTTACCTACATATTACATATTTTATTTTAGAATTTATTATTAGTTCGTTTAATTGGGGGCAGCCACTTAATTGGACCAAAATGGATTAGTCCCAATGTGTCCCAATTAAGTGGAATCGACTGTACTTCATTTCTTGTTTAATATCTTCTAACATTACTGTTTTACCAAGTTTTGTGGCAAATGAGCTCTAAACAAGTACCTACAGCACAATGAAAAGCCATTATTCTAATTGGAGATAATAAAAATTTCTTAAAAATCTATTCTGCAGAGTACTGTTAATAAACCTGTAGAAGTTACTGTAATTACATACAATACACACATCAATTATAACAGGCTACTTTATATAAAGCTTACTTAAATGATATATGGATGCTGAAATTAAAAACTTAAGTACATACATTACTTCAAAATTTTGATAAGGTATAAATCATTTACCAAGTGTTTTGTAATTATTTTAAGCACTATGTGAACTATTACTTAAACTTAGACATGTTGATCTCTAATATACTTTTTGTTAAAATTGGTGACATAATATTTGAATGACCCACATTAACTCATTTTTGATTATCTACTCTCTCTATCACATTTGTCACCAAGTTTTAGATCCTCAAGCTGATGTCACATCTGAGCTGTCACACCAATATTAAAATCAAATCAAATTATTTTTAAAATTAGCTTTGCCTTGGCAGGAAAAAAGAATAAATTAGATAAATGAAAAAAAATTTACTAATATACCAAAGAAAAAGAATCTAATGATATTGTAATCATGCACACAATACTTTCCAAGGAAACTCTGTCTTCCAACTCAGTCAAGAGACCTAAAAAAATTGTCTGGGGATTTTTGTCCCTTTGCTTTTAAGGGACAAAAATCCAGTCCAATCCAGAGCAGGATCAGTTGCTCTTATTCAGGCCCACTTCAGACGGGATCCCCATGTGGTACATCACAATATGCTGACCCCTCCGGAAAAACCAAACTGCTCAAGCGAAAAACAAAATTGCTTTGTCTCTGCCAACCGTTAGGCCTACACGACATTAGTGTACCAGTACGTGGTGTCTACATATTTTCGGAAGATCTCTAAAATGTATAAAAAATTGCTAAATTCCTTTTCTGCTACTGTCCCAATTAAGCAATTAAATTATGTATTAATCTATTAGTTTGGTTTCTGTTCTTTGAGATTTGGCCCAATAAAGCGGCTACCCTGATTAACCGGTGGCACAATTAAACGGAAGCAACTGTATATCTAAAACATCACCTAGTGATCAAATCTAGGAGTGTTCATTTTTTTTTCCTATTATGGTGATTTATTTATTTAAGATGTTAACTATATTTGTTAATTAATACATAAGCATAAAATTGAATTTATTTCTCTGTGCCAACCCTCTTCTAATGTACCTACTTTTTTGTAAGTCATTAGGTACACTTAGTATAGAAATGTATTAAAAATAATTTTGTTTTGGAAAAACAAATGTGCAGTTTTGTTCCCTATATTTCTGTTCTTATTTTTGATAATTTATTAAATATTATTGTTATGTCTTTCTTTAATTGCATTAAGTATACAGGACATTTTATGCTATTTAGTTTTTGTAATTCTTTGTGTAAGTCAGTAAATCTAACAATAGATATACAAATGAAGCTTAAAATGACAATTTAAGCAAAATATGATGCAAATAAAACTGTTAAAATATCTATATCTATAAAAAGTTGTTTTATAACAAAAAAAATTATGTATCATCAAAATGATGATACATAATATTTTATATAAATATATAATTTATATAAATATAAATTATATATTTATATGTTTGATATAAATATTAAATTTATATAAACAAACATAAACATAGTTTGATATAAATATTAAATTTATATAAAAAACATAAACATAGTTTGATATAAATATTAAATTTAGTGCAAAATGCACTAAATTTAATATTTGATATCAAAACTATGTTTATGTTATTTACATTTAACTTTCTTTACATGTTCTTTGTATAAATGATTAGACATATTTTTGTAATTTTATTGATAAATTTCAGGCCTCCCACTCAGTCACTTTTAACTATCTAGCAACAAAGTGAAATATATATCATTGATACATGTTAGAAATTTCTGCTGAAAACAAAGAAAACTAAACTGATCTCTTGATCTT